CCATATTACCCAGGAGCCACCCTTTAGTTTACTAAAAATGCTCAAATGCAAATGATACCGTAGACTGTCATAATATAAAGACATCGTGAAAGCTGCTAGGGTATTGGACATTGGCTTGGATGATTCACTGATGATAATCACACATCATTATATACTGTGAGAATGGAATCCCTTCAGCACAGTAGAATAGCATAGGGCAGAAGGTATCATAGTGAGCAACTACAAAATAGACATACGGTACATAGGAATGATATGTGAACAACTAGTGGCATCCTGAGGGAACATAGCCTAACTATGTGGTTGCTTCATTTGTTTACCTTCAGCAAGACAAAATGAAAGTAGTTAACTGTTTTTGAGCAGAGAGCCTGAGGGACCTCCTCCACACAAGGTAAGCTATTTAGAATTGAGTTGAGGAGAGATTTCTTCTCCCAAAGCGTAGGAAGCCTATTGAATTCTTTGCCACAGAAAGGGTTGAAGTTAAAACATTGAGTGTTTTTAAGAAGGAGATACAGTTCTTAGGGCCAAAGAGGTCAAAAGGTATGTGGAAAAAGTAGGAACGGGGTACTAAGTTGGATGATCAGCCATGATTATATTGAATGCTGGAACAGCCTTGAAGGGCCAAATGGCTTACACCTGCTCCTATTTTGTATGTTTCATACAACAATGTTGGCGAACTGCAAAATGCAAAATACTGTGGCTGCTGGAAATCTGAAACAAATTTCTCCAGCAGTCTCTGTGTTTGTTGTAAGATATTGCTAATTGTTGTAGCGCAAAGAGCAAAACACATAAACATTCACAACCCTAGCTAACTTTGCAGTCACAGTTGTCATTGCAACTGCAGTGAACACATTCTTATGGAAGTGTAGGCATCGTGTTGTTCCTTGTTCAGGATGAGCTAGAAAAATGGTTCCATGAATGCCTTGAGTAGCTACAACCTCTTGCTGAATGCTCTCTCCTCCTCTTCCCTTTTCTAGCAGCTCGTCCTGCTCTGTGGCACCTGTTTATTCTCTCATTTATGTATTTGAAGGGAATGTGCAATAGTGCATCCATGTCTGTGAGCGATTGCTTTGTGCAGAAGACTTCAGGTTCAAATCCTTCAGCACTTGTCACAGTCCCTGCAGTCTACAGCAACTTTAAAGAACCTGAGAAAGTGTAAGGACTTGTAGAATTGTAACAACACAGAGAAAATCAGCTAGTAACTAATGTGTAAGTAGTTGACGCTGCCTTTAAATAACATTATCAGAGGGTCCTTGCATCCATGCTTGTCAATGTGGGGCTAAGAGAAATCAGTAGCCAGAGTGCTGAGCTCCAACGTTTCACTTATGGTGACAATCCAACACTGTGCATTGGTTGCCCTCATTAAGTGCCTGATTTGCAACCTTGAAGTGTACATTCACTGTGTGTATGCTAATGTCTGCACCAATATGACAATGGAAGTGATTTGCTGCACAAGGGCACAAACATGGCATAGATTCCATTTTGGTTGCTAAAGCTCAGAATGCCCAAATTAGGCCTGCTAATGAGCCCAATATATTTAGAATGTGTTTGTTGCACCCTCTGTGCTGAGGAACCATCAACTCAAGTTTGCAGAATCACCTGTACTGCAATAGTGTAGCATTTCCACTTACTCATCAGCCATTTTAATGACATCTCCAAGTCATATGGCCAACTTAATTCAATCATTATTAAAATGTTTTTGCTGCAAAACAATGGGCTGGGCACTAAGATCTTTGTTTAATTTAATTCAGGATCCTTTCAGGTGTTGGATAAACATTTGAGAAATCTCCTTGATCTAAGTCCTGTGTTGAAGTCAACTTCAATCTTCAGAATGAAAGGACAGTGCTGCCATTTACAGTACAACCTAGTTCCTTCTTCAAAGCCAGTGTGCATTTATAAAACAGAAATAAAATTTTCAACTTCAGAACAGTATTCTCAGAGTAGCTGAAAGTCATATGGCACAGAAGGACACAAGTAATGTGGGGAGGTAAATTGCATGGGGACAACACAGTAGATAATTCACCTAACACAGTTGAGTGCACTCCTTGTAACAAAATCATTGCTGCCTTGAACCACTAACTTGTCTTTTAGGTGCCATTAGTCAAAGTCTAGCATTCTTTATTTTTAAGGGCATTTTTCATAGGTATTTGTTCCCAAAACTAATCAGAACTATGCTAATCAATGTTGTATTTGTGTGAATGTGTGAGCAGGGCTGTATACCTGTTAGTTGATGTGTATCATTTCCTATGGGGAGTTATCACATGAAGCAAGGCAGGTGATAACTGGACCAGAATAGATTAACCTAATTAAGTTCCAGCTTTACAGACTTATATTTTTTCTTCATTTTAATGTAATTTTTATTTTAATAAATGTATAATATATACTTTTTTTTCCATATGATACTCTGAAAAGCAACTGATTTGTAAGTGTTTCACTGTGATGCATGCAGAGGACTGGAAGTTGCACAGGTGAAATGCTATAATGCCACCAGCTGTAGGAGTGTTTTTGTGCGGACATCACAATGGAAGTTGTAAGTGAATCTGAGATTGCAAACCAAGAACAACAAAATGAACTGGGCAAAATAAGAGGTAACCTTTCAACTTTGTGTTGCTCACCAGAAGTCTCTCAGGCAAAACTGGAATTCAAACATGGGTTACATGATCTTCCTAGCATTAACTTAAATGGTCAGATATGCGCTGTAATGGTGCACAAAGACCTCCTCATTAGATTTGCACAGTTGTAGAATTACCTCTAATATGTGAACAGGTGGACATCTATAAAGTTCTGTAAATAAGCAACAAAAGGGATATATGTATTCCAAGAATGGTGTTAAAATGGTTGATCACAATGTAGAGAATTCATGATAGATTCAATGGTCAACATATTCAATAAATACAGAGGAGAAGGCAACAAAGCAATACAATGCTGATCTATATTAACAAAACAGCAGCACACATGTCAGAAAAAGTCATGATCCATCAATACAATACATTGGTCAGACTACAACTTGAGTCTTGTTTCTAGTTCTGGTCATCGAGATTCAGTGATATTCAAACACTGGAGACAGATCAGGAGAAAGCCATGAGCCTTAGCATCAGAGAGTGTGTGCTGGGCTTGATGAAAAACTAAAAAATGGGGATTTTTTTGACCTCAAAGGGAAAAGGAACTTCATAAGGAATGTGAGATAGTAACCAGTGTGGGAAAGGTAGACCCAGGAGAGCATAATAAGAACAGTACAAAGCATACAGGTTCAAATCATTAAAAGATTAATTCAGGACCGACAACAGGCAGTTTTCCTTCACTCTGATGGTGATTAAATAGTGGAATGAACATCCAAATAGGATATCAAATGAAAAAAAATGGTGTTAATCAAAAGTAACCAATACCAGAATGGGAGAGAGTGGAATATATAGGTTTTCTGATTGCATGAACCAAAAGAGAAAATGGGCATCTTTGTTGGGGTTTTATTTGTGATTTTTGGATTATAGACTTTGAACTGACCAATATTTTTGCAGACAGTTCTTATTTCAATAACACAGCAAAGGCAATTAAGTTTACATTATATTGGTTAGGTACCATTAATCATAAGCATGATGGGGGCGGGGGGTGGAATTCATTGTTTATGCGCCATACTACTGTATAATTCCTTTATTGTGGGATTTTTTTTTCAATTTCCAAAATGCCAGACTTACTGCCAATGGGAACCAAACCAATTTGGGTAAAACACTGACCTAAATGTGGTGTGAAATATTTAAATAAAAATGTCTCTATTCCTTTTTTTTTCAAAGATTGTGCATTAATTTCAGACAATACTCAGTATGCACTTCATTTATTATCACAATATATGGCCAAGACTCTGTGCCTTTTATTACACACAATAGTTCATCACTGTATGCTATCAGCCTAATGGAAACTCGTTGAGATTTAGTGCCCGTGTGTTCATTTTCTGATAAAAATTATTACAAAAATTCCATACAAAAACTATTTTCATATAAATCTTGCATTTCCACAAATAAACATGAACATCTTGAAAAACTGCCCACAAGGATTTGTAGCAGTTGTGACTTGAGATTTAGTGCATTCTACAAAAGAGTCTCCTGCAACATTACCATGAGATCATGTCAGTGAAAATCCTATATCCATAATTAATCAGGCGGAACCACACGAGTTGAAAGGCCAGGCGTCAAATCAGTTCAGCTGAATGTGGGAGCAGGTGGGCGAAGCAACTTGAAAGGACCAAATCTTGAGACCCAGATGGAGGGAGCTGAAGGGAACACACTCTTCTGTTACCACAATGAAGTACACAAACTTAAAGGTCTTTAGGCTGTTTGTTATACCCTACATCATTCAGATTTTGGAAAACAACTTCGCAATCCATTGTTTAGAAAATTTAATTGTTTAACGTTCTTTCATTTGGCGAGGGTTCAAAGCAGTCTGATCCATTGTAAAAAAAAGCTAAATTGACAGAAAACAATTATTGCCTTGTGTTCCTTTCTGATGGTGATACAAATACATGAAATATCGCATCAGAGTTTCACCATTTCTTTCCAAAGCCTCTCAGTCCTCTTTCATCTTAAACCTCAATTATTTTGAACAGCCTCTATTACAGCACAACTGCACAAGTTTGGACAATCCTCAGTATCATTTCCACCTTGTATAACTTTAGCTATAACTCAACACAGTTTTCCCTCTGTTGTCCAGTGTTTCTTATTCTTTATTATCACCATTCATTTCCGATATGGGAAAATAAGACAGAGGGGTGAAAAGAGGGATGAAGGGGGAAAGTCTTTACTGCATTTAATTATTTTATTTGCATGTTTTGGTCCTTGACAATGTTTCGGAATCTGACTTTGACCACCCTGTTTTCATAAGGTAGGTAATTTTTTTTTTCAACACAGCATCATGAGGTAACTCGCTTGTTCGGCACGGTTTTGCATATTTCCACAGGAAACACTCTTGCAGGTCATTGGGAACAAAGATTACTGTTTGTGCTCGGTGTGGATTTTCTACACTTTATGCCATTGTTTCTTTGCCAGGCAATCTCCTGTCGTTGAATGTATGCATGTTGATAACTTCTTCAGTTTTCACTATGACTGGTGCCTGAGGCCTGTGTTTCAGACGCCGTTGACACTTGAGAGACAACCTGAGCTCCTCAACCATGGCACTACAGAAGGACCTCTGTGGGGAAAATTAAAGACTGAAAATGAAATCAAACAGCAATGCCTTGAAGCGACAGTGAAATCACATGTTAGTTTAGATTTCTCTGTCCTAACACCAGACAAGCTTGGCAATGATTGAAAGTAAAGCATTTAGCTTGCTACTAGCCTTTAAATAGAAATGACAAGAGTGCTTTTAAGAATAATGTGCTCTGCTTAAACCGTAAGGAACTACAGGAATGCTAATATTTACTGCATTCATAGTTATCAATCAAATATTTCATCTTCTTGAAAAATATATATATATACAGTATTAATAAATGATAGTCATAATACTGTGTGTCAATTAGCCTGCACTGGAAGGAATCCAACCATTGCCCTACCCCTACCACTGCTTAACCACCCTCCAGCATAAACTGTAAAGCTAGCAGAAATAGGCAGAGAAATTTAGTTTGTGCAACACTGCTTCGGACATTGTGGTTTCATTGAGGAATGCTACACAGCCTGTGGTGCTACCTGCAGCTGGGGAATTCCCTGACACAGGTGACTCTTTTTCACCTTCCAGTTTCCAGGCTAGTACACGATTTCTTTTTGTTAAAATGATGATAAGTTAAATGAAGGCATATGGATGATAGTATAAGGTAGGGGTGGAGGTTAGGTAGACCTTAGGTTTAGGGTAAAAGTTCGGCACAACATTGTGGACCAAAGGGCCTGTACTGTGCTGTACTGTTCTATGTTCTATGTTCTAAGGTCACACAGCTGAAAGAAGTTGACTGTTGATATTGCCATCAGCTAGGGGTGAATTTTTGGGGTTCCCAAAGGTGGAGGAAAAATAGAAAAAACACAGTGCCAGTGTCTGTGTTAAGTTGTCGGGTGACGTTACTGATGTCAGCCGTTTTGTCAGAGACATGTTCAGTCCCCAGGACAAGTCACCCAAATCCACAAGGCTGGTTAGACTCATCAAGAGTCTTGACAAGACTTGGTTAGGAGGTGACCTAGAATTATCCAGTTGGCCTTGAGTTTCTTGACATAACAAGGGCAGATAAACAACCAGGAGGGGTGAGCATGCAGTGCCAGGGTAAAGTACAGGTTGGATCTTTGTCAGTCTGCAGGTTCTCACAGTCCACTGACATAGATGTACAGCCAAAGGCCTCCATGGGAAGGAACCCAAAGAATCACAGAATTCCTACAGTACAGATACAGGCCACTCAGCCTATTGGATCCACACCGACCCTCCGAAGAGCATCCTATCCAGACCAATCCCCTCCATCCAATCCTCGTAACCCCACATTTATCACGGCAAATCCACCTAACCTGCATATCCCTGGGCACTATAAGACAATTTAGCATGGCCAATCATCTAACCTGCACATCTTTGGACTGTGGGAGAAAACTGGAGCACCCAGATGAAACCCACGCAGACATGGGGAGAACATGCAAACTCTACACAGACAGTCGCCTGAGGGTGGAATCGAACTTGGGTCCCTGGTGCTGTGAGGCAGCAGTGCTAACCACTGAGCCACTGTGCCACCCTTAACCCACCTGCCACTTTGCTGGCCTGCCTGCTTTATCTGATTTTATTTTGTTAAAGTTTTTAAAAGGTGAGTCAGAGGGCACCTGTGTGTTGAAGGTCCTTTCTAGTTACTGATTTGTACGACAACCAGAAACTTCCTTGAAGCTGGAAAGCCCCGGTTTGGCCTTCCAGACCCGACAGCTTTCCTGTTGCCCTCATGGGCATCTGTCTCCATGCCCAAAGGGGGTGAAGAGCACTTAGAAACTTCAAACATTATCAATATCCCTCAGAGGCAGGCTCCTGACCCGAAATAAAACTCAGCTCCTGTTTCCTGTCTCTACATCAAAACCTCAGATCTTAGAGCTAAGTCCATGGTCAAATTCTGAAAACTAAAACAGAAAATAAATCTCCCTAACTGCATGAGCACCGAAACACATTTAATTTTATGCCGTTGTTCATCGACTTTTCTTTCTCATTTGGATTCTACTGTTGCCAGCCCTGTTAATAATTGTAAAAGAAAACAGTTAATGCAGTGATCCTTTAATCTGGGGTAAATGGTTCAGTAAGTGCTCCAATGTTAACTATTAAATCAATCCCTTTTCATCTTTTAATGACTGCACAGATATTGGCTGAAAGACTCATTCCCCAAGCTTCTTTTCTCATCACTTTGTGACACCTTCTGCCACTGCTTCAGGGTATTCAATTGATGATTCGTGAAGAAGCCACCAATCCAGTAATTTAAACCCCGAAGCAAAATTAGTCGGACAAAAAAAGTAGACATGTGACAAGATGTAATTTTGACATGACACAACTAAACACGATCAAGGTGCTAAAATGACTGAAAAAAAAAGGTAGAGGTGCAATAACTACAATGGTTTGGTTTAACTTATTCAAGCTTTACATCAATATTCTACTGTTATAGCCATAGTTCTCATTAAACAGCGAAAGATTGCATGAGACAAGGAAAAATCCACAGTTGGTTATTAAAGCTAATTAGCAGGTTTTACAGTAAATAACTCAGACATTTAGATTTATTAATTGTAGCTCAAATGAATAAATTAAATTTTTGTATGGGAAATTATACATTTTATTTTTAAATTTGTAATGTATGTGATGACAACAAACTTGAATCACTTGCTCATTCAGTCATCGACAGTAAATAGGGCAGTGTCTGTTTCAGTCGTAATCTATTTGCTACAACGTACCCCACCAAAGAAATGGCAAGCCATTGCTTTTTGGTCGAATATTGGCAGAGTAATCATTGCATATCTACAGAAATAAGCAGTGTTTAATTAAAAAAGAAAAATCAGGAGATGCACAGCAGAGACAAAGCATTATGGCTAATTAAAAGCACAGCAGATTATAGCATGAATCAAAACTGCTATAAATGACAAACATGGATGCAGTTACTTAAGCTTATTATCTGACAAAAACTGTATTAGAGGCAACATGGTTATGAATTGAGATATGGATTCAACGATTGCTATTCTAATGCACTTCCCTTCTGTTGTGTTATCTGCTTTAATGAAACACAGTCATATTGCTTGTCTTTTTTTTACTGCACTCAAATACACTGAACTGCCAATAACTACTTAAAACAATCATATTTATTGAATTGAACACCACATACAATGTGTAAACAATGAAAAAATCAAAGATATTCCATTTTTGCAGCTTGAAGTTCAGAATGCTGTTCAGAGATAAAACAATATGTATGCATTACTGACTGGATTATTCATGTTGTGCTTGAGTTTATATCCATGTTTGTCTAACACAATAAATATTTTATATCAAATACCACTGCATTTATAGTTACATGGAGTAATCAGTTCCTATGCACTTTAAAACAAATAAATATTTATTTTGTTTTAAATAAGCAAGCTCGAACAAAGCTAGTGACAATTAATTAAAAAGCACAGTATTTTTTTTACAAAATTCAAATTCTGAGTTTATATGATTTTGCTGTCACAAAACATACGCTCAAAATTTAAGCCATTTTCTTGTCAGGAAATTTGGATATTTATATATATATATTCAATAAGATTTCATTCTAATGAAAAATCAATGGGACTGCACTATATAATCTCCAGTAACTTACAGATGCACTGGAAAAGTCTTTTACCTTCTCAAGCTGTGCATTTTTTTTCGACTTGTACAGAAATTCACCCACTGCCACAAAGATGGACAGTACTAGGCCTGCAGCCAGCACGATAAAGATGCCACCAATGTTCTGGACTCCTAAAGCACTGGCTTCTTTGCTCTCTTCCTCTGGGCAGCCATTGCCCCTCCACCATTTCTCTTTCATCATGTGTAGCTTCCCCTCCTCCTGCAGTTGGAGAATGGCGATGGTGATCTTTTCCCTGTATGGTGAACCTGAAGATTAACAGCATGGTAAAGTAATATTAGCAGTCTTTTCTCTTTTAGCTTGCAATACCCCTTACAGCCAAATCGCTTTGCATTTCCATTATTCTCAGAATGATTTGCAGTCAAATACATTCTAGTTAATGCTCATTAGCTGACAAGTATTTCCTTGGTGGCAGTGAGGTAGTACGGAAATCTGTGAGGTAGCACACTCCCAAACAGTAGTCAGCCCAAAACAGACCTCAAGTATGGTTGGCAACAGTACACCTGGAGTCTCCTAGATACTGCAAGAACAACGTGGTTGAAAAATCATAGGGATATGAACATTTATTATGTTTTGTTCTTTAATTTTCTTTTAACTCATTTGTTTATTAATTCCAGAGACGGCAGGGATGGGAGAAAGGCTGGTTGACCAGGTGGGGAACTTGGAGATGGGAAGACCGCTGATGAAGACTTGAGGAATTATGCCTGACCTAAATATTTCAACACGTTATTGTGCCTTCACAGCCAGTTCAGGTTGATCATGGCCGGAGCATGTGCAGTGATCCACACTGACCTTCTTATTGGTGGCAGCACTTGTTAGGTCACATCAGTGCTGGCAGAACCTGAGTAGAGGTCAAGATATGAGTTGAGCCACCGATTAGCATTAATAAGGTGCTTAATATCTGTTTTAGATGGCCACGTTAAAGGTTGTTCAGGTGCCCTTGGGGTACAGGGTACTCCCTACAAACCTATTTTCTTGCCAAAAACCAAGTTCAATAATGATCAATAACCTAGTGGTAAAAATAACCAATTTTGCTAGATTAAGTATGTGTGCATCTATTCAATCTGAAAACAATGAGACCATACATATCATTTCAATTAAAATGATTAATTACATATAATACTCTTCTGCGCTCAGGTGAGATTTAGCAGTGCAAGCGTTACAATGTATAGTGTTAAAGGATTGATAGCAAAAAGATATTTTGCCATTTGAATTAGGGTTTTGAATTGCTTTGGAGTATTTGCACTTTGAGATCCCTTTGTTCCTCTATCCCCACCTGGACTTACATCATCCACGTAGCAAGTGATTTCATTAATCTTTCCACCTTAATGTACAATCTTACAGACTGGTTAAAAAAAACTGGCAAATAATGTCTGCAATTTGTTTCAGTATCCTCCTCAGTATTGATGATCCTCCCAATCTGATATCATTTACAAGTTAGAAATTGTATTCCAAAGTCCAAATCATTGATGTAAATTGTCAACAGTGGAAGACTGATCCTTGTTGAACACACCTCCCAGCACTCTGATTAACTAACTTATATTCCCACTCTCTGCTTTCTGTCTTGCAGCCAGCAGACCTTGTTGCCAATTGTCTCCTGACTCCAGATTCTCTGACCTTATTCATTAGTGTGTTATGGGACACTTTATCGATTACTTTTCGAAAATCCAAATAAGCTACATCCACTGCTTAATCATTGTCTACTCTGTTTGTTTGTTACCTTTTCAAAAAATTCAGTCACATTGGTCAAGTGACAATTGTCATTTTAAAATACAATACTGACTATTTATTTTACACTTTTGTTCATTTTAGATGATATTCTATTCTCCCCTTCAGTCAAGATTCCATTTTTCTCCTATCATTGATGATGAGTTGACTGGTTTATAATTCCTTGAACGTGCTCAGTCCTTTTTCTTAAATACAGGAATTACATGCTATTGCTAGCACTACACCTTTTCTAACAAGTAATTAGGTATGAGTAGTCTTCTATTTCTTTCTTAAAAGACATGAATGCAATCTATTTGAAGCAGGGCGCCTTATCCTCTTGAAGTTGTTTACTCAATACATATTTTAATGGCATTTATCTTACTATTCAACTCATCACTTAATGTCCCACCTATCTCTTTTAATATTACCAAAATGTCTATTCCTTAATAGTCTTATTCTCATCACAGCCTGATTTCTTTACCCCGATCAAAGCAGCCCTGGCTAAGTGGGCAATAACAGCAGCTTCAATATTTTCTCTTCTTTGGAGCATGTATTCTGGAGGAGTATGCTACTGGAATTGGGTTCCAGCTGGGGATGGAGGTTGAAAAGCCAATTTGAAAGATGAACATGAGGAACAACTGGCCAAGCAACATTGAGTGTTTAAGTGAGTTTGGTCCGATAGCAGGCAAGTGTTCAAGAAACATGTCAGTAGCTTCTTAATATAAATGCAATCGTTTTGCATCACCCAAAGTTGTTTCATTATACATTCAGCATTCCAATCAATAAATCTCTTCCTAAATCATCATTGATAATGATCAACAGAATTATTCACATTTTAAAGGTTAAACAATCATTTAAAAATTGTATTCTTTCCTGAGCTAAATTACATATTTGTAACAGTTATTCCTCAAAACCTTAAATATTAGATGCATAAATCTAGTTAATTGATTAAATTGTGTAATTACTTGATGCACGATTGCAACTGTTTTAACTGATAGATGCTAAACGTATGAATTAGAAACAGGAGTAGGTCATTCAGTGCACCAAACCTATTGCAGCATTCAGTGAGATCGTGGCTGATCTGATTGGGGCCTTAATCCTATGTTCCAGCCCTCTTTGACCTACTTGTTAGTCAAGAATCTCTACATTTAAAATATTCAATGACTCTGCTATATCTTTGTCTGAGAAAAAAATTATAAACTCCCAGAAGAACATAGGAACACGGTAAGGACATTTGGCCTTCGAGTCTGCTCCTCTATTCAATAAAACATGGTTCATCTTCACTGTCCGTACCTGATAACCTTTCACTTCCTATCAAAAATCTGCCTTTTTGTATTGAAATATTATATCCTCCAAAACAGATGAGTCCAGCATCCTCCCTGTGATAAATATTAAACCAACTGGACTGTAGTTTGCTACTTTAAATCTTCCCACCAACAGCTTCCCCACCACCCCACCCCCCAACAAAGACACACACACACACACACACACACACACACACAGACACACACGCGCACGCACACAGACACACACGCACGCACATAGACACACACACATAGAAATGGTTTCTCCATTCTTTTTTTCTCCAATTCACAGTTATTTTTGGGATGTAATGTGTATACTCTACAATAAAGACAGTCCAAAAATATCTGCTCAATTCATTTGCAAATTCCTTATTTCCCAGACTCATGCTCTAAAGGACCAACCCTCACTTTATTTACTCCTTTTTTCTTTTTAAATACTTGTAGAAGCTTTCACAATCTGTTTCTTTTTTTCTAGCTGGTGCTTTTGTTTATGCTAATTTCTCTCTCCTTATTTAAAATGTTGTGGCTGGTTACCTTAGATGGTTGCAGTGCAGTACGAATGAGACAAGTTCATGGGTGCAATGCCCTTACTGGCACTAAGTTTCCAGGTAAGTGCTTATTTCCATCCCTTAAGGGGAGGCAGTGATGGAGTCGTATATCCAAAAGCCTAGGCTAATGTCTGGAGACATGGCTCAAATCCCATCACAGTAAATGGTACAATTTGAAGTAGAAATTAAAAAGCTGTCTATCGGAGATCACATAGTCCTTGCCAAATGATGTTAAAAACACATCAGGTTCACTAATATCCTTTATGGAATTAAGTCTGACCTACATTTGATGCCAGACCTACATCAATGTGGTTGACCCATAATTGCCCTGTGAAATGACTGAGGAAGCCACACAGTTCAATGTCCACATTCCAAGTAAAAACAAAAAAAAAATCTTCAGTCATTCTATGATGTTCTTTATTTTCTGTCCAATCTTCTCACCTGTTACACATCTTTGTGGAATTATATGCTTTTTCTTTCAATTTGATACTATCTTTAATTTCCTTGATTATACACAGGTGGTATATCCATCTTTTGGCGTCTTTCTTTCTCATGGGACTGTACCATTGCTAAGTGTTCTGAGATATCCCCTCAGGCATTTGCCATTGCATCTTTACTGACCTATTCCATAATGGAATTTCCCAGTTCACTGAAGCTAGTTCTGTTTTCCTGCCCTCATTATTGCACTTATTTAAGTTTAAAAGGAATGGAGGAACCTAAAACAATTTCATTCATCGGGGCAAAAGTAATGAGAGAATTATTAGAACTAAAAGTTGACAAGTGCAGAAGCCCTGATGAATTTCATTTGAGGATCTTAAAGAAATGACACTCGTCTTACGACACAGCTTGTGCATAATATGCAAAACAGAACTTTTGTTTACAGGAAGCCTTCCATGATCTCGGGACTAAAGCACTTTAGAGCAATGAACTGCATTAAAATACAGTCACTCTAATATTGGAAATACAGCAGTGAACTTGTACAAGGCAAGGACCACAAACAGAAATGTGATAATGGACAGATAATCTGTTTTAAGGGATAAACACTGTCCAGGGCAAACTGTAATTATCATTTGACTTTTAAAAAATAATTGCATGATCTGACATTGTAAAAACCTTTCTCTCTCAGCATGTCATGAGAAAGCTGGTAAAAATGTACTTACTCAATGTTGCTATTGTGTTATCATCACACCTGCTCTGACAAGCAATTATAATTTGCTGCATTTTAAGAAAGAAAATTCATTGCAAAAGCAGCTCCTTCAACAAAAAAAACCTCAAACCTGATGGCAGATCGATTTCAATCTATGATTTTGGCTGCTTCCAGAAATTAACCAACTCAAACAAAAATCCACAATCGACTGTTACCCAACTGATACAGTTACACAACTGATACAGTTAGTCAGTACAAAGTGGGGGGAGGGGGTGAGGTGGGTAGAATTTTATTCATACAAAGCTGCTTTGTTGGACATCAATCCTTTTCAATACTGTAGCTCAAGTGCTAAAGTGGTTGGAACATGGTGGTTCCATGAAATGTGTCCTAGGTTATGAGTATATTTCCTCTGTTGGATGAATTACATCAGTTTCATTACATATCAGAGGGGATGAAAAATGAAACTACGATCTATAACAGTTACCATTTTTATTCATACAGGCTCTTAAACATTTTGAAACACCCAAAAACACTTTTGGAGG